TGTGGAGGAACTTTTTTTGTGTTTAACCGCTATCTCTTTTGTTATTTGGTTTTTTCCTTTTCTCAAAAACCGACTGTATTGGGTTTGTGTTTTTCTTTGAGTGTTTCTTCGTTTCAAGTGGTCATCTTTAAATTTAAAACTTTAAATTTAAGTTCAAAAAAATTTATCCATTTTATTTTGGGCTTGCGTACCGTGAGACTTTTGTTGTAATTAGTAAGATGCGTTGTTTTGTTTAAGCTTAGCTTTAATTCCTTCAGACCGGGTTGAGATAAAGTTTGAAACGCGTGAAATTAGGTTAAAGTTGTTATCAGGTAGTTACTTTGTCAAACTAGAAAATAATTTTAAATCAAGTTCTACAGAGGCGAGTTACCATGATTTGTTGAAAGATTGCGCGAAAGTGGGCGAGTCATACAAAAATTTTAAAATCTGATACGAATTATATCAATACTTGAAAAGAATAATATCATCTTGTTTCTCACTCAATATTATTTCAGTAAATCGCATAGGTAATTAACAGCATTATTTTTTCATTGCTGCGTGTCAATTTTGTTGCACGTTTATAAATTTACAACAAACAGAAAGCATTTTGAAGTAAAATTTTTCTAAAATTCTATTTTTGTTTTGATTTTATTTATAGTTTTCAAAAAAACTACTGGTGAAAAAATCTAAAAATTCATCGGGTGTGTCAATTGCAGGAATATATAGAGTGTATTTGATGCTCAAACAGTTTGGGTTGATTCAGAAGAGTTCACATGAGGTCAGTTAGATGGAAAAATCGAAAAGTTTGTGCGAAGAAAAGAGATCTGAGATAGGTCCGAGAAAATGTTTTTGGTGGAAGTTGGAGTGATAGGAAAGATATCGATTGAGGGATCAAATCTGGCGGTTTAACTTGGGCTGAAAAGATGCATGTTATGAAAATAAAGATTATGGTTTGTGAGTGATCTTTTAAATGTTCAAGTGTTTCATCAGTGTTTCAAGGTTGATACGCTATGTGTGAAATGGGGCTTCAATGTATGTCGTTGTTTTGTTGCAAGCGTGACTTTGATTTTAATTTGATATGTAAATGTTTTGTCGATAGTGCTTTGTTATGTGCGTTTAGAATAATTTTAATAATTGATGGGAAGAAACTCTATTATTATATGTGGAGAAATTAGATTCCTGCTACGCTAGCTCGTCTACTAACTTGTGTGGGCATTGCGCATGTGTTAAAATTTCTTTGAGACAGTGAAGAATAGGAAACTTATAAATTTAAACATTGCGTAAAAAACCCGCTGTTTCAGTGAGTTTTCGGAGATTTTGATCTAAAGAATGTCGTTGATCGGTTTCCATTTTGCGAGGAGTTCTTGAAATTGTTGTGTGCGTAAAGTGAGGTTATTTATCTTATTTTGATTGTAATTCGAAGTTAGGGCTACGAGCTATTGGGCGACTTCTTTCGGGCTAAAAATTCTTAAAAGGTGGCTTTAATGTGAGGTCGGATGTGCTAAGATGGTTTTTATCATCTTTTGAACTAGTTGTACTACATTGTGGCTATATTCTGACCCACATAGGACAGTGGTATCCAAAAAAATACGTTCGTTGTGAGAATGTGTCTACAA